CCCACTGCATGTCCACTGCAGATCCACTGCACATCCTTGCATATCCAGTGACCTGTTCTGTGTGGAGGTGATGTCATCAGCTCATTGGTTTTAATCCTAAGATTGTTTTATTTTGAAATCTGTGATTTTTGTGGAACTCTGAAAAGAGGTAGGTGAGTTGAAATATTCTCTCCTTACAGAGGTAGTGGTGAACTTACAGCTTGGAGTGGGAGACAGACCAGAAACACATGAACAAGTTGGCACTTGTGGGAAGCATGGTGGAGTAAAGAAGCACCAGGCAGGCAGGGACGCGGGCAGGACATGCTCAGGGCTGTGGACGCTGCAGAGGCCAGGGAGGCTGGGGAGGGGCTGCTGTTTGAGGAGAAGGAATGCATGTCAGGGGAGGTCAGGGGGGTTTCATCAGATGAAGTCAGAAGTCAGGTGGGTCAGAGAGCTGGAACAAATAATGGTAAAATTTGTGTGGAAACACAGAAGACTCCAAAAAGCTGAAACAATCTTGAGAAAGAAGAATGGAGCTGGGGCAATCACCCTCCCTGACTTCAGGCTATACTACAAAGCTACAGAAACAAAACAGTATGGTACTGGCACAAAGATGCATAGATCAATGGAACTGGATAGAAAATCCAGAAATAAACCTATGTACTTACGATCACTTAATCTACAACAAAGAAGGCAAGAATACACAATGGAGAAAAGACAGTCTCTTTAATAAGTGGTGCTGGGAAAACTGGACAGCTACATATAAAAGAATGAAATTAGAACATTCCCTAACACTGTGTACAAAAATAAACTCAAAATGGATTAAATGCCTAAATGTAAGACCGGAGACCATGAAACTCTTACAGTAAAGCACAGAACGTTCTTTAACACAAGCATAGCAGCATTTGGGAGAATTTACATCTTAAGGCGAAACAAAACGAAACAACGAAACAACATAAACAAATGAGTCCTAATTAAACTTAAAGTCTCTTCCAAAGCAAAGGGAGCCATCAGCAAGACAAAAAGACAACCTACTGAATGAGAGAAGATTTTGCAAGTGATACGAGCAACAAAGGGTTAATATCCGAAGTACATGAACAGCTCATACAACCCCACATCAAAAAACCAAATAACCCAATTAAAAAATGGGCAAAAGAACTGAATAGACGTTTTTCCAAAAAAGACATGCAGATGGTCAACAGGCACCTGAAGAGATGTTCAACGTTGTTAGTCATCAGGGAAAGGCCAATTGAAACCACAGTGAGAGCACCTCGCCCTGTGGGAACGGCTGTCATGAAATAGAACAGAAGTGGCAAATGCTGGCGAGGCTGTGGAGAAAAGGGAGCCCTCTCGCACTGCCGGCGGGGATGTAAACTGGTGCAGCCACTGTGGAGGACAGTACGGAGGTTCCTCGAAGAACTGGAACTAGAGCTCCCATGCGATCCAGCTATCCCGCCCCTGGGTGTATATCCCGGCCCCCCCAAGAAACCACTAATTCAGAAAGGTGCATGCACCCTAATGTTCACAGCAGCACTGCTTGTAAGTGCCAAGGTACGGAAGCGGCCCGAATGCCATCAGCAGATGACTGGGTAAAGAAGCTGTGGTACATGCGTGCAGTGCAGTACTACTCGGCCACAAAGAAGACTGAAATGCTGCCACCTGCAACAGTATGGATGGGCCTGGGGGATGTGCGCAGGGAAGTAAGCCAGAGAAGGACAAATGCTGTGTGACAGTGTTTTCATGCGGAATCTAAAAGTAAAGCAAAGCAGTGAATACGACAAAACAGAAACAGACTCACGCGTAGAGAACAAACTCGTGGCTACCAGTGGGGAGAAGGAGGCGGGTTAAGGGGTAACAGGTGCAAGCTAGCACGTATGAAGCAGGGATGCAGCAAGCGCGTGCGCACGACGTGGGGGATTAACCAGTGTTTTATGATAGCTGTAAATGGAGTACAACTTTTAAAAGTCGTGAACCACTGTGTTGGCCACCTGACACTGACGTAACGGTGTGCATCAACTATACCTCGATGTAAAAAGTTGAAAAAGAGAAAGGTGTGGGCCGCA